ATGCCACCTCCCTTCCTGTGTTCAAATCCCTGCTAAAAACATATCTGTTCTCTCTAGCGTTTCATACTGTGTGAGTTGATTTAATATATCTTGTTCCATGTCTTCATTTTAATGCTGTTTTAATTTTTTTTAAGGTATATTCTTAATGCTTTTTATTTCTCAGTGTTACCCTTGGGGGCCGAGATGGTGTAGAGGCAGGGCAGCCGGCTTGGGACCCAAAAGTCCCAGGTTCGATCCCCAGTCACTGCACATCACGTGGCGTCTCTGGGCAGCACGTCTCATCCCCAAAATGTCCCCCGGGCACTTTCAATAGCTGCCCACTGCACCACCTGGTGGTGGATGGGTTAAATGCAGAGACCAATTTCGCCATTGTATGGAAACATACAGTGCTGACATTGTGATGACATTATTATTATTATTATTATTATTAGTGTTAAGCACTTTGATAACAGTCTATCTGTTTTAAATTGTGCTCTATAAATAAATATGACTTGACTTGACTTCAGCTCCTCAGTCCTGTCAAAATGAAAATATATATCCAAACTTAAGTTGTTTAAAAGCTGCAACAGGCAAGTCAAACACAGAAACAGAAGACCACTTCAAGATGGAATAGCAATTTGTTAAACCTTTCAGACATGACAACAAAGACCATGCTCAATAATCCAGGTACATAATCCAAAATTTTTCAGTCAGGTCATCTGGACAGTTTCTATTTTTTGTGCTGAAACATTTCGCCTTCGGTCTGGAAGGCTTCATCAGTCAAGGAAACACAACAAAACTGATTCTTCCCCCAAAAGCTTACTCCAAAGTGGAACAAACCAGTTCTGCTTGTGATAAGATGGTCTCTTTGGTACGCCCCTCCTCCATTGCCGGCCCTCTTCCTTGTTGACAGGCCTGTCAAACTGGTTGAAAATAACAAAGTCATGGTCAATAATCCAGGTATACAATCCAACATTTTTCAGTCAGGTCATCTGGAAAAATAAACTGTCCAGATGACTTGACTGAAAAATGTTGGGCTTTCAGGCATGAGTTGTGAAATATTCAGAGAAGTTGAGAAGTCAACAGTTCTTTCGACACACCCTCAAAATTCTTTGCAGCTCTGAAAAAAATAAGCCTCCTCAGGATATTGGTGATGGCATTTTTTTTATCAGCTTGTTTGGTGCTGAAAGCAGGAAGGAAACTCTTCTCGTTGTTGATTTAACATAAGCAAAACTCTAAAATCTTTGTTCAGGAAAAAACACAAAAATCCAAACAATAAATTACACAAAAACAAATTATTGTTACAAAAATATTCAAACTAAGTACCAGAAGCAGCTTTTCATTGTCATCTCATGTGTTTAAAAAAATGTTTCCGTAAGAACGTGTCAAAATCTCAGAGCAACCCATCCATCCATCCATTTTCTTTACCCGCTTATTCCATTTTGGGTCACGGGGGTCGCTGGTGCCCATGTCCAGCAATCATTGTGCGAGGGGCGGGGTACACCCTGGACGGGTCGCAAGTCCATCACAGGGCCACATAGAGACAAACGAGACAAACAACCATTCACTCTCTCACTCACACCTAGGGACAATTTAGAGTTACCAATCAGCCTAACATGCATGTTTTTGGTCTGTGGGAGGAAACCGGAGTACCCGGAGAAAACCCACGCATGCACGGAGAGAACATGCAAACTCCACCCAGAAAGGCCCCCGGACCGGGGTTTGAACCAGGGACCTGCTCGCTGAGAGGCAGCAGCTCTACCAGTTGCGCCACCGTGCTGCCCTCAGAGCAACCTGAAAAGGCTAATCAGGATCTCACTGTGTCACAGTGAGGATTCAATAAACAGCTGTGGCTTGTCTTTAATCATACCCAGCATACACATTTAAATATTTTAAGAGCTACTCATTTAAATAATCAGCATCCGTGCAAAAACAAATAAACAAAAAAAAAAAAAAAAAGAAAAACCTGTAGTTCTTTCAGTTTCTCATTAAAATAGGTCAGAATAAATAACATTCAGATGAAACATTCAGAAGCATAACTCTGGCTGTGAACGGTTTGATCCTAATGGAACTAACCTTATGGAAACATTTCTACAACAACACAGGCTTTTTCATAATTTTCTTAACTGTTCACTAAGTTTGAATATGGACATAACATGAAGGATATTTAAAAAAAAAAAACTAAAAGTCATGTACTGTGTTTTAAATACATACACTTCTATTTTATATGTAAAAGTACAAATGTTGACTCATGCTGTTTTTAAACTTTTAAGCAGCTTGTGCATGTTACTCATGCAGGTGTCTGTGGTTTATTTGCTCATAAGAACAAAATCCATCTAGCCATAATCTATACCTGCTTGTTCTGTTCCTTTTAAGAACTAAATACACTGCCTGGCCAAAAAAAAAAAATAAAAGTTGCTACCTGAATTTAACTAAGCAAATAGGTACGAGCCTCCTATTGGATAATTACTGCATGGGTGATTATCTTTCAGCTGGCAACAAGTTATTTAACCCAAACTGGTGCAATGAGTTGCTTCTCATTTCTTAACAACCATGTTGAAAGATACATTGTGTGGTCGTGGAAAGGATGTCAGTCTGTTTGAGAAGGGTCAAATCACTGGCATCAAGCAGAGAAAACATCTAAGGAGATTGCAGAAACTACTAAAATTGGCTTAAGAACTGTCCAACACATTATTAAAAACAGGAAGGATAGTTGGGGACCCATCGTCTTCAAGGAAGAAATGTGGCCGGAAAAAAATCCTGAATGATCGTGATCGGCGATCACTTAAACATTTGGTTACATCAAAGAAACACAACAGTAGCACTCAGGACTATGTTTAATAGTGAAAGTACGAGCATTTCAACATGCACAAGGTGAAGGGAACTCAAGGGATTGGGACCGAACAGTAGTGATGAGAAAATGAAGCTTTTATGAAGTATTGAACCATTTACACTGACCTCTTGTGGCATTTTGCAATGCTGCTGTCAAATTAGGCATTTTGCTTTTAGTGGCACACACCAAGAACTTCAGTGACTAGTGTTAAAGAAACTACTGTGGTAAAAAACAGAATTTTAAAATTCACCAACTTACTATGTTGTCTGGTTTGAAAATGTATTCATGCTTACATGTTTTTGAATAAAGATTGATAAATGTGCATTGAAGAGATTTAATAAAAATGTTGCAATGGTATTGTGCTTGTGTAACTGTGGCAGAGTCCGAGTCTTTATGGTTCTTAAAATAACAATGAAATGATGTCTCCAGCATCTCCATGTTTGGAGCTGAAGTGTCTAATCATAGAGGAGGTATCATGATGCTTCAGTTGAACACACCAAACACTGCACCTGCAGAAATACACTAATGTAAAAAATAATAATAATTTGAGCCCATACTGATATATGATTATTAAAATCACATACATCATTTTACTGTAATTATATTAAATACATGGGTTAAATGGGTTAGACTTTTTTTTTTCATTCAACCTTTTATTTAGACAGGTAAATCCCATTGAGCCTCGAGGATTCATTTACAAGAGAGACCTGATTTCAACAAAGAATGATGACAACAATGGACAACAGCGACAACAATAAACAAATATAAAAAGGCATAAAGATTTTTTTTTTAATTAAAAAACAAAAAACAAATAGAATGGCTAAAAAAAGGAAAAGTAACAAAAAACAGCTAGAATATCTTCACTGCTGAACATTACTATAACTTTTTTGACATTTAAATACCAAAACCACCTTATCATGAGCAGAATGAAGTGTTCCCACATGTTAGAATGATCTCTTTCCCTGGCTGCCTCTATAATTACTCAGTTTCAACTAACAGCAAAAACACACCTACTCTCCAACAGATTACAAACATTTTAGAGCTGTTTTATAGTGTTGAGCACTCTCAATTCAAAACTGTCTCAACCTGTCACCTGTCAGAATCGAGACGAGGCGGTGCCAGGGAATCAGCTGTTTGGACCGCGAACCAGTCCAGAGCTCTGAACCAGTCAAGAGATTCATTCCGACAACGAAACAGTTTTTTGGGACGTCACGTGTCACGTGACTTTTTCCGCACCGAAACAAGCTCCGAAGCAGTGGTCCGATGTAATTTTACTGCAGGGTTCGAAGCATGTTTTGAAGCTTTTGTTTCATACTACCATCACTACCTAACAGCTGTGTAGCCTTAAGAAAACCACTAATCAGTGAGGCTAACTGGAAAAAAGGCTTCAGTTTGTTAGGGAGCATAAAGATTGGACTCTGGAGCAATGGAAGAAGGTCATGTGGTCTGATGAGTCCAGATTTACCCTGTTCCAGAGTGATGGGTGCATCAGGGTAAGAAGAGAGGCGGGTGATGTAATGCACCCATCATGCTTAGTCATCAATGCAATATCTTGATGAAAAATTAATGCAACACTGGGTGGAAATAGATCTTGTGACATTACAGAAGCTTATTGAAACAATGTCACAGTGTAATCAAAGCTAAAGGCAGTCCAATGAAATATTAGTGACCTTTTTTTGTGACGACTTTTTACTTGGCAAGGCAGTGTATAAAGTAAATTATTCTGTAGATATATTTTAAGGGAGTACACAGCTTTAAGAAAGGTTGTAAGAGCCAGTACCAATCAGTATACTAGTATACCGGTAATCAAATTTACACAAACTTGCAAGAACATAACTTGTTCTCATCATCGCTTATTAATTGAGACACCAATCAGGCAAAATAAATAATTGAATTTCCATCTTTAAAGCTAAAATAAATAGATTAACTGGCAGAAATTACATATGTTGAACATTCCCTGTGTTCCTGTTTTGTTCTCTCCATGACTGTAAAGTTACATGATATCAATGTTGATTTTTGTGAAATTGATCAAATATTATTTAATTTACAGTTCACTGATGTTTTAATAAAAGTATCAACGTAAGACAGTTGGGAGACTTTGAATTGCAAGGTAAAGCAGCGCTTAAGCAGTTTATTGATATTTTCATTAAATACATTTGTATTAATGAAGCTGAAGAAGTACTCGGCATCATTCAAAAATTATAGGTTCTTTGCAGTAACGACCACATCTATGTGGACAGCACTTCTTTCTTCCGGGGCAATCAGCATCATGATCGCAGAACTTATGACAGACGTATGTTGACAAAAGACGACCACAGCTTCCTGAAACACCAAACACAAACATGATGTTGTTGCTTTAACAACCGGAGAAGAGGAAAAAGCAAGGAACTTTGTCACTGTAGTCCGTGCTCACCAAGTTTTTCTCCAATGCACACATGTCCACACCCATTAAACCAGCATGTTTTACCATCTGGGCAGTCACCATCAATGCACTCTTCAATACATATTGCAAAGTCTGTACGTGCACTCACTGATGGAGAAAAGAAAAAAAGAAAACGATATATGCAAAGAATTAAAAACAAACAAACAAAGTTCCAAAATGTGAGTTCTGAGAGGAGACTGTTTTTAGTAAACTGTCCTGAAACAGGTCTCTGCACCACCCCCACTGAAAAGGATTTATAAGACCTTCAACAGCTATTATCTTTCTTGAATCAGGAGGGTCAGATACATCATTGGTCAATGCATAAAGTTGTTGATCTGGAAGTCATCTTCATGCACAGATGGTTACACTGTTGCAAAGGATTGAAATAATTTTAGACTTTGACCTGTTTTAGGGAAGTATAAACAATAAAAACAGCATAAAAACAGGTTTTATACTGAACATGTGTAAGAAATGATACATTTGATTAATTCTGGCATACCTGAGTATGGAATCACAAAAAAACAAAATGCTAAAAGCAAAGCAGCTGTTGATGAACAGTACGTGTTCATGTTGATTTATCACAATCAGCAATGAGCTCCTGAACTCCTGTAAATAACCTGTGGCCCGAGCAGCACATAAGATGCTGGGTCCTTGTGTCTGCAGAGTTACATTACAAAGTCACATTTTTTTTATACAGTTTTCAAAGTTCACCTGGCAACACAAATGATAGAATTGTTCAGATCAAATTTGTTGTTTTTATTACAAACTCCACCAGAGTTATTCTCTTTACACTGAGGTCCAACACCACCGGGGCAGCTGTGGTGCAGTAGTAGGGCAGCCAACTTGGGAGCAGAAAGTCACAAGTTCAACTCCCTGCCATGCCCACATGTTGTGGTATCCTTGAGCAAGACACAAAATCCCCAACTGCTTCCCGGGCAGTTTACATAGCTGCCCTCTGCTCCATTTGGATGTACGTATCTCACAAGTGATGGATTAAATGCAGAGCACAAATTTCAGCATTGTATAGAAATATACAATAGCTATGTTTAAATGCATAAAATTGTTTGACTGAATTGAACTGTTTGCAGATTAAATAATTTAAATCTATTGTTTACATGGGGGGCAGCACGGTGGGCAACTGGTAGAGCTGCTGCCTCTCAGTGAGCAGGTCCTTGGTTCAAACCCCGGTCCAGGGGCCTTTCTGTTTGCATGTTCTCTCCGTGCATGTGTGGGTTTTCTCCGGGTGCTCCGGTTTCCTCCCACAGACCAAAAACATGCATGTTAGGCTGATTGGTAACTCTAAATTGTCCCGAGGTGTGAGTGAGAGAGTGAATGGTTGTTTGTCTCGTTTGTCTCTGTGTGGCCCTGTGATGGACTTGCAACCCGTCCAGGGTGTACCCCGCCCCTCGCACAGTGATTGCTGGACATGGGCACCAGCGACCCCCGTGACCCAAAATGGAATAAACGGGTAAAGAAAATGGATGGATGGATGGATGTTTACATGGGCACAATCCGTTCAAGACTAGCCTTTACATGCAACGGGTTTTTATTCTGAATAGAAATACTGACATGCACAGAGTGGTAAACTTTCTTTAAAAAAAACACAGAAGAAGAAGTTCTAGTAGAAATGTTGTGCCGCTCACTGACCAATTTTCCTTCCTCGACATATTAGCATCTAACCAGGTGGAAATATGTGAGGTAGACATAGGTCGCACATGCGCAGTCAAGTCGGTTTTCCACAATCAGAAAAAAATGAACAGATTAAGTGTTTACATGCACCGTTGGGATTATGAATCGTCATAAACCACCCCTCTCATTCAGATTACAAATTCTTTTAGATTGAGCTGAATCAACAAAGAATAATCCGAATGGAGCGTTTACATAACACAATTTTATTCTAAATGGCTGTTTAATCTGATTACTTATGTCCTTATAAAGATAGCTGCTGATGGCAATCCATAGCACTTGAACTGAAAATAAACCTGTTACAGCTACAATACTAAACGTGAGATCAAGTTATTCTGAGCTGAAATGAAGCATTAAACTATTATGGAAACCATAGTAAAATATGCCCCACAAATGAGAAATCTTGAATCTAAATGCACTTTATTTATGATTTTATATTCTAGATGTAGGCAAATTGAACTTGTTTACAAAGTTTTCAGCAGAAGACTTTATACAAAACTAGTAAAAAAGAAATAAAAAAAATTAAAAAAACACAACACCTTGAACAGGAAGGTGTCATAGGTGTCAGTAAGTGGGATTGTTTTGTCAACAAAAAAAAAACCTAACAGACTGATTTGTCAAATCAGTGTGCTGATTTGTTAAAAATGTGTCTAAAGGAAAACAGTTTTTATTTGAGCAAGTGACCCAACATGATTTTAATCGTGTTTTACTAAAAGGTTTGATCAATCCTATGTTAAAAAATATCCAAATGTGTGTGTGTGTGTGTGTGTGTAAATTTATGTAAATACTTTGGTAAATATTGTTTTCCGTACTTGGAATAGGAGGGGCATGGGCAGACCCATAGTCAAACACACATTTGTCAGATCCAGGGCAGTCTCGGTCACTGTGACATGGGTTAAAAAGTGCAAAGGACTCAAAATATTTTGGACAGTGACCTGATTTCCCAAAGGTGTTGGGTTAAGATTAACAGGAGTGTCTAAGAACGACGACAACGACGACGACAATAGCATCAACAGATTATATGTTTTTATGTGCAGGAAAATAAAAAAACAACAACAATTTACCAGGTTTTGGCTTAATTGAGTTTGATGGCACAAACAGACAAAATACTATAAGCAGAGCAGCTATTGTTGAACAGTGTGTCCTCGTGTTGACTTATCACAGTCAGAAATGAGCTCCTGCTTGGATAAATATCCTGGTAAATAAACAGCAGTCTGAGCAGCACACATGATGCTGGGTCCTTGTGTACGCAGTTACTTTATGAAGTTATTCACTGACAGACACTCACTCACTTATGATGCTGGGACTTTTACTTATATTTTAAAAGATTGTTTTTACCATACAAACTGTCAAAACATGTTTTGATGCTAACTTTAAGGTATGACTTGATTACTTTTATTGATCTCTTGTTTTTGTTCTTTTCCTGCATCATGAAGGACCCCACTCACCCAGCACACACACTTTTTGCCCCACTCACCTCAGGAAGGAGGTTGAGGAGCATTAAATGTAGAACCACTAGACTGAGGAACAGCTTCTACCCTGAGGCTGTTAGACTTATGAATCTCTAACTAGAATAATCACTGTGTAAAACCATATGTTGCTGCTGATCTGTTTCATGTTGCTGCTGATCTGTTTCAATGTTGATGTGTTCATGCGTGCACATCCGCTCACACAGACTCATGTTCATGTTTGTGCTGATGTTCAATGTTTTATGTTATGAGTGCTTAGTGTATATTTAGTTGATGTTTTTCTTAGTTCATATCTTAGATGTTATTACTGTTTTTCTTATACATTTTATTGGTGGATGTAACTGGGACCCTGTGTACATAATTTCGCTCCACCACATGTACCACATGAGGTGCGAATGACAATAAAGAAACTCTGACTCTGACTCTGACTCAGATCTGTTAACTCGGTTTTGATTACATATAATAAACCCCACTCCAGAGAGTTATTGTGTGATAAATGAACTGATGTCCAACACCACAGAAAAATGCATAACTTAGCAAAAAAAATAAAAATAAATCACCTTCCTCCCTTCACCACGTTTAAGCTGAAATGCTATAAACTTGTCTTTATTCAAAAGACTGTAACTAATATATTACTGACACCTGCATGAGTAACAATGTAAGTGGAGTTATTTTCTCAAAAACTAATGAAATTACAGTTGAGTTAAGAAAAATATTTAGCTGAACTGACAGTAGTAAGACGATCTTCCTTTTTTTATTATTATTTATTATGAGAGTGAAGTTGAATCTGTTTTGTTGCTGTTTCCTTGTACCATATTCCATTTACCCTGAGTAAACCATTATATTTTTCCATTCAGCCTGCCACCCTCACCTGTCCCCAACAAGCGTTCAGCCCAGGTGTTTCTTTCACTCTCACCCAGCTTGTTATTTAAAGCATCCTTTGTCACCACCTCACCGTCGGCTCATTGTTCTGCAAACATGTCAAATGTCTCAGTCCTCCTCGTGCCTCCTTGTGTATTCCTCTGCGTTTTCATGTAAGTTTTGCTGCCTCGTCAGCCTTTCATTTTTGGGAATCAATATCTTCATTTTTATTTTACGTCCCCCTCCCTGTTTCACCTGTACTTAAGTTTGGGTTTAACCTACTGGACCGTGATAGCATTGAGGTACAATCCATAATCTTTGAAGCATTAATCAAAACTGTCTTATCCAATCACAATTCAGATATGTTTTATTAAAAAGCACCAATTTAGAAGATAGTTTAACAAATTTGTCAATATAAGAAAGCAGAAACACGCATACATCATTTTATTGATATTTTAGTCATAGAGCCAAAGAAGTGTGTACTGGGCTGTATGGTGTAGCTCAGCTGGCGGCTTGAAGGAACACGGGCTCTTTGCAGTAACGACCACATCTGTGAGAACAGCATTTCTTCATCCCAGGACAATCATAGTCATCATCACATAACGTATGACAGACATATGTTGATGGAACACTGTGGCAGCTCCCTGAAACACCAGACACAAAATAAATATTTAGCTGTTGTTTACCAAGCAACTGGGCAAGATGAAAAAGTGAGGACCTGCAATCGGGACTTACCTGGTTTTGGTCCAGTGCACTCATGACCACACCCATTGAAGCAGCATCTTTGACCAAATGGGCAGTCCCCATCTGCAGAGCACTCTTCAACACATATTCCTGGTTCTGGACATGATGGCATTACTGCAAGGGCAGAGTAAATGTATAACCTTATTATTTTAAAAGCAGAAAATCTGAACATGTGAGTTTTAAGAAAACAATTTCTTCTTACATAAGAACCTGTCTTGGTGTGATATTAATATTATTTCTTTAAACGAGTTTAAAAACCTATTTACCAGCTACAGTAATAGGGTTAATATATGCTTCTTAATTGGATCAGGAGGGGCACAGATTGATTCATGGTCAAACTGACAGCATTTTCTATCTCCAGGGGATTCTGCTTCATAGTTACATGGTGGTGCTGGCAGAGTGATTTATGGACTGATACCTGGTTTTAGAGACGTCTTAGGTTAACATTAATGGGATTGTTTGTTTTTTTTAGTTAGATGAACATCCAGAAAAAAAAAGCACATTTAAATTAAAACAGCTTTTTCTTTGAAAATATGGAGAAACAACAGACTGACAGTGTTCGGTCTAAGCTTAGTAAGAGGGAACAAATAGGCAAGATGCTATAAGCAGAGCATCTATTGTATAACAGACAGAGATTTGTCCCTAGTTATCCATGTCCCAGGTGAAATTTGATAGTTGGCTTGTATCCAAGTCCAAACAGCGGAGTCAGATTCAGAAAAACCACAACTGTTAATTTTCTTCAGGCAGACTATTTCTTCTTGTCAGCTTTGAGTCCTGCTGGAACTTTCTTGTTCCAAAATGGCCAAATTTCTGGGACTCCACTCCACTGATGCGTGTTATGAGCCTCCTCAAGGTTGATCCCACATGCTGTTGAGTCCTAGAAGCTGCAGGTGGCCTGTGATTCTCACAAATTGCCTCCATTTTACAGTTTGGCATGTATGTACAGTGGTCCCTCACTACTTTTTGATTCGGTTTTTTTTTTACAGACTCACTCTATCGCGGTTTTTCAAAATAAGATTGGACATGATACACAATTGACTGATTGATGGATGAGATGCACGGTTGGCTTGGAATTTTTTTTATTTATTATTATTTTTTAATTATTTAACACAGCCCAAAATGCAAGAGAAACTTCCTCCTGCAGCTCCTCCTTCCTCCTCAGTCTATCTCTGTTCTGCAATGGAGAACTGGGCTTTGGCCAAGAGCGCAGCAGACAGCCATGGCAGAGAGCTGAGTTCAGGACACGCTGTGCTCTTTTAGAGCATTTAGAAACATTGTTTAGAATATTGCAAGAGTGTGAGAAGGGTTTAAAATGC